TGTGTGTGTGTGTGTGTGTGTAGTGTGTGTGCAGTATGTGTGTAGTGTGTGTGCAGTGTGTGTGCAGTATGTGTGTAGTGTGTGTGTGCAGTGTGTGTGCAGTGTGTGTGCAGTGCATGTGCAGTGTGTGTGTGTGTGTGTGCAGTGTGTGTGCAGTATGTGTGTAGTGTGTCTGTAACGTGTACAGTAGGACTCACTTGCGCGGCGGTAGCAGCGGCGGCTGCTGTTCACTGAGCGAGCGCTGTGTGGCCTTCAGGTAACTCTGGCGTCTGGCGGCGGTTTTGGGCGAGGGTTTGGGTGAAGGGGGTTCGTCCGAGTCATCGCTGTCCTCCATGTCTCCCATGGCTTTAACGTAACTGCCACTACGCATCCGTCTGCACGGGATGTCGCCCGCACCGCCGCCTCCCTTACCCAGCGTCCCGCTCCATTCACCCGCAGGCACCTGCCAGAACACTTACACTTACTACCCACAATGCATCTGGGTCAAAGGATGTCAAATAAAACTTCTGAAATGTACTTTAAAATGCATGTGAGTTCTCTGTGTTAGTGTTGGTTAATATATTTTTTGAAAATCTCATTTTAAAATTCCACTGATAAAATGGCATTTAAAATGACAATGAATTATTGTTGAAATATTATTTAGATATATTAATTCATATATGACTATTTTTATGACTATTTATATATATGTGTGTTTGTGTGTGTGTGTATGTATAATTTTTTTTTGTTTCTTACAAATATATATGTATGTAGGTATGTGTGTGTTGGTTTTATGTGCTTATGAAAAACTAAGACATTTTTTAAAATACTGCTGTTGAAATGCCATTCAAAACAACAACAAAATATTGTTTAGATAATTAATAATTATTATTTTTTTTTACAAATATTTGGATTTATTACTATAATTGTTATTGCATTAGTAATAATAACAACAACAACAATAATAATAAATATAATATAATTATTATTATTATTATACAAATATTTGAAAAAATAGTATTTGAAAAATACTGTTCAAATATTAATTATATATTTTCAATAATATATTTTTATTATTATTACTGTGTATATCAAACAAAATACATTTGTTTACAGATATTTTATGTTTAAAAATATATTATATTGCATTTATTGTTTTTATTTATTTATTGTTTAAAATTATATATAATTAATGTGAAACAATGTGTATTGTTCAAATATTAATAACAATTACGCTTTTTTCTCTAAATATTATATATATATATAATATATTTTTTATATACATATATTCAAAACAAACAAAAAAATAAGCGATAAATAATAAAAAAGTGATATAAAGTGGTTATTTGGCATTTATAATCAATATTATTGCCTATTATGAAATCTTTTTTTAGGATTTTTTAGGACAAAATAGGTTTGTCACAATCTCAAGAAATCTCTTCACTGTCTCCCCCACACTGAGAGTGGGAGAGACATGTCAGACATGTCATGTCTTTCTTCCATGTCAGTGTGTCTGTACCTGTAGGAAGTTGCAGGTCATCTCCTGGCCGTGGCAGGACTTGGACTTGAGCAGGCTGCGGTTGACGGTGGCGGATCCCTTCTGCAACACCTGTCGGGCCTGACTGAGGGTCAGTGTGGACCACGAGCCCCTCTTGACCAGTGTGTTCTCCCCCATCTGGCCCGTGGAGGGCGGCAGGCTGACGGTGGGCTTGAGGTCTCCGCTGCTCTTGGAGGATTTCAGCGAATGAGCCGCGATGGTGTTGTAGCCCTGCGGATGCGGTCTGGGAATTTTTTAAAATACTGCTGTTGAAATGCCATTCAAAACAACAACAAAATATTGTTTAGATAATTAATAATTATTATTTTTTTTACAAATATTTGGATTTATTACTATAATTGTTATTGCATTAGTAATAATAACAACAACAACAATAATAATAAATATAATATAATTATTATTATTATTATACAAATATTTGAAAAAATTGTATTTGAAAAATACTGTTCAAATATTAATTATATATTTTCAATAATACATTTTTATTATTATTACTGTGTATATCAAACAAAATACATTTGTTTACAGATATTTTATGTTTAAAAATATATTATATTGCATTTATTGTTTTTATTTATTTATTGTTTAAAATTATATATAATTAATGTGAAACAATGTGTATTGTTCAAATATTAATAACAATTACGCTTTTTTCTCTAAATATTATATATATATATAATATATTTTTTATATACATATATTCAAAACAAACAAAAAAATAAGCGATAAATAATAAAAAAGTGATATAAAGTGGTTATTTGGCATTTATAATCAATATTATTGCCTATTATGAAATCTTTTTTTAGGATTTTTTAGGACAAAATAGGTTTGTCACAATCTCAAGAAATCTCTTCACTGTCTCCCCCACAAAAAATACTGTTCAAATATTAATTATATATTTTCAATAATATATTTTTATTATTATTACTGTGTATATCAAACAAAATACATTTGTTTACAGATATTTTATGTTTAAAAATATATTATATTGCATTTATTGTTTTTATTTATTTATTGTTTAAAATTATATATAATTAATGTGAAACAATGTGTATTGTTCAAATATTAATAACAATTACGCTTTTTTCTCTAAATATTATATATATATAATATATTTTTTTTATATACATATATTCAAAACAAACAAAAAAATAAGCGATAAATAATAAAAAAAGTGATATAAAGTGGTTATTTGGCATTTATAATCAATATTATTGCCTATTATGAAATCTTTTTTTAGGATTTTTTAGGACAAAATAGGTTTGTCACAATCTCAAGAAATCTCTTCACTGTCTCCCCCACACTGAGAGTGGGAGAGACATGTCAGACATGTCATGTCTTTCTTCCATGTCAGTGTGTCTGTACCTGTAGGAAGTTGCAGGTCATCTCCTGGCCGTGGCAGGACTTGGACTTGAGCAGGCTGCGGTTGACGGTGGCGGATCCCTTCTGCAACCCCTGTCGGGCCTGACTGAGTAATATATTTTTTATATACATATATTCAAAACAAACAAAAAAATAAGCGATAAATAATAAAAAAGTGATATAAAGTGGTTATTTGGCATTTATAATCAATATTATTGCCTATTATGAAATCTTTTTTTAGGATTTTTTAGGACAAAATAGGTTTGTCACAATCTCAAGAAATCTCTTCACTGTCTCCCCCACACTGAGAGTGGGAGAGACATGTCAGACATGTCATGTCTTTCTTCCATGTCAGTGTGTCTGTACCTGTAGGAAGTTGCAGGTCATCTCCTGGCCGTGGCAGGACTTGGACTTGAGCAGGCTGCGGTTGACGGTGGCGGATCCCTTCTGCAACACCTGTCGGGCCTGACTGAGGGTCAGTGTGGACCACGAGCCCCTCTTGACCAGTGTGTTCTCCCCCATCTGGCCCGTGGAGGGCGGCAGGCTGACGGTGGGCTTGAGGTCTCCGCTGCTCTTGGAGGATTTCAGCGAATGAGCCGCGATGGTGTTGTAGCCCTGCGGATGCGGTCTGGGAGCCGCCTGACTGTCCGACACGGCCCTGCCCAGCGTCATCATGCTGAGAGGGTTTCGATACGCCATGGCTAATGGCCCAGCGGCGGGCTGAGCTGGCGCCTCGTCCTCCAAACAGTCATCCGAGCTCCAAAAGCCTGAGAGATTGGGCCGCGGGTGGCGTTTGGTGCCTTCGGTCTTAGCGCGGTCTTTGCTTTTGCTGCGGCGGGCCGCTTTAGTCACGTCTCCGGCTGGGCCCGCGGTGATGCTCCCTTTGACCGCCGACACCTCCAGGGACTGGGACTTGGCGAAGAGCTTCTGGACGGACTGCACCAGGTTGCGAATGCGGCTGGGACTCTCACTGCGCTGCTTGGAGCCGTGGCTGCGCCGGTGGAACTGCAGCGTGCTGAAGCCGTCGTGCTGCAGCGGTAGGTGGCGCTCCAGCTGGTCCAGCAGGTTGGCCGGGAGACGGTTCATCTTGGCAGCAGCCGCGGATGAGATGGTGGCCGTGCCGCTGCTGATCATGGCAGGAGCGCCCAGTCCCAGACCCAAACCCATGCCCATGGACATGGAGGATGTGAGCGTACCGGAGCGATTGCCCGTCTGAGCCACACAAGCCTGCTGAGACACAACAACACCATCATAAAATTACTAGAAAAATATACAAATTTTCTATAACAAGCGTGAGTTAAATATGAGTTTAAAACTGCACATTTGTTGACTGTATTACATATATCACATGCACACTATTAGAGCTGTTTAACAAATATGTGTATTGTATTATTAATTATTAAATAATACATTTTGTATTTATTATACTTATTTGCACTTATTATTTATTTATTATCATACAACTGTATATCACCTGCACAATATTATTCATGTTATTTCAGTTATCTGGGTATTTGTATGATACATGCTCAATATTACAATTGGTTAAAATATAAATGAATTATTTTTAACAAATATTTGTATTCATCATTAATTATAATACATTATTATTGCACTTTTATTTATTATATTATACTAAAACATTTAAAAAGATAAGAAATGTATGACTGACGATTTTATAACCAGAGATTGTCAGCTGGCTGTATTTTTTTGGTAATACCTATTAACAACATTAAATTTATTTTTGCAAAATTGCAAAAAGTTAATATTGCAAATGCATTTTTATTTATTATGAATTTATTTATGACAACAAATACACAAATAAGTTTAATTTAATTAATTAAATCTAAAAATCTAAATCTAAATAAGTTCAATAATAATAATAATAATAAATTCAAATATTTGTATTTTAACTACTTGTAATATTGTGCATATGATATATTCATACAAATTTCAACAAATATATTAGTCAACAAATGTACCTTTTCAAACTCAAAACATCTGAATTTAAATTGTGATGCATCAAATAATGGACAATATGAATGATTGCATGAATCAAAACACTTATGATGTGTACTCCATGCTTTTTTCTATTTCTATTAAAATATATATTGTTTATAATATATGTTATATTTTATATATACACTATTGTTCAGTCTCGCTGAGTCTGTACTTTTTTTTGAAAATGAAGAGGGAAAAGATTTTATTTTTATTCAGCAAGGATGCATTAAATTGATCGAAAGTGACAGTAATCACATTTATAATCTTGCAAAAGATTTCTATTTCAAATAAATGCTACTCTTTTCAACTTTCTATTTATCAAATAATCTTGAAAGATAAAATCCACAAAAATGTCCACAATAATATGAAGTGGCACAACTGTTTTCAACATTGATAATAATCAGAAATGGTTACTGAGCAGCAAATCAGCATATTAGAATTATTTCTGAAGGATCATGTGACACTGAAGACTGGAGTAATGATGCTGAAAATTCAGCTTTGATCACAGCAATATATTACATTTTACAATATATTCACATAGAAAACAGCTACTTTAAATTGCAATGATATTTCCAGATATGACTGTTTTTACTGTATTTTAATTAAATAAATGCAGTATGGTGTCAGTACCTGTGTGTAGTCGCTCTGCTCCGGCTGGTTGGTGTAATGGAGGCGAGGGAAGGTGCTGCTGGGGGTCAGCTGGTTGTTGAAGGGCAGCAGGCAGTCCGACTGCAGCGTCGTCGGGGTGGAAACAGGAAAATGATGGAGGTGAGGATCTAGAGTGGCGTAGTGGTTGACAGTGGGGCTCAGGAGGAAGGCGGCGTGGGGGTCTGGGGCCAAGGGAAACAGGGGCTCCTGGGGGCCCGCGGTGGGGTCGCAGGTGTCGGACAGATGGCGGCTACGGTTGGCCCCTAAGCCTTTCATGGTTGCTGCACAGGGTCGGCTCTAGAACATGATCCCAGATGAAGAGAGATGATGGCCCTGGAGGGCGACCCCTACAGGACAGACAGACAAACACACAGTCAGTCTCCGTTCAAATCCAGCTGGCTACAGTGATGAAGCTGCTGAACGTAAGCGCACACTGGTTTTCTTAAAGGGGGTCATATGATGCGATTTCAAGTTTCCCTTTCTCTTTGGAGTGTTACAAGCTCTTGGTGCATAAAGAAGATCTGTAAAGTTGCAAAGACTAAAGTTTCAAATCCAAAGAGATATTCTTTATAAAAGTTAAGAGTCAACCACACCTACCTAAAACGGCTCGTTCTAACACGCCCCCACATGTCTACGTCACTATGTGGAAATATTAGCATAATGCCGCCCAAATGTGCACGCAAAGAAAGAAGGCGTGGTTTCAGGAACAGCAGTAGTGTTGATGCAGCATGTCAGGGAGAAGCTGTGTGATTCAGTGCGAAAGCAAATGCACTTTATTTGGCCTTCTGGAAGTAGATGCAATCAGGAATCATTGGTTAAGATTTACAGAACAGCACAACCCAGATGTTCGAATTGACCCCTTTAAGTCATGTTTTCAAGTCTTTGCAATTAACTGAAATAAAATACATTTGAAGAAACATTAAAATTACTAAAACTAAATAAAGCTAAATAAAACTAAAAAAATCACTTTTTTAAATGAAAGAAAATTTATATAACTAGTAGATGAAAAAAATTGACTTAAAACAATTACACAAAAAAAAATCAACTTAAAGAAAATTTGAAATTTTGTCTTGCCAACTAACTGTTTGAGTTTAAGAGATACTAAATTTACTAAAACTAAAATAAAATAAAGCCAAATAAAACTGATAAATTGTTAATTGAAATAAAATTGAATATAACGAGTAGATAAAAATTGACACTACACATTAAAAACTTAATCAAAAATGGAATCAAAAGTTTAATAAATACTAAAAATACTAAAACAAAAATAAATTAAATCTAAATAAAATACTTAAAAATATATAAACAGTCATAAGCACAACACAATTACTAAACCTTAAACTAAAATTAAATAGAAAAATTAAAATATAAAATCAAAAAAGCTAATTCAAAATATTAATAAATACCGTAATAGATATAAATAATACTACAATAACACTGGATACAACTAGTGCTTTTCATGGAGAACTATAATCACTGGATTTGTCAGGGATAAAATCTTTATTTCTTCACATAATTTTTATATTTGAATATTTATATGCAAATTCACTAAACAATTGCACTACTTTTGCACATTTCTTGTCAGCAGAAAAAAACCTGTGTATCACTAACCATTCCCTAAACAACCCAGTTTAACCAGGAAAGTTACAGCTACCATTAGGTACTACTTCCTTTCTCAGAAATGTAAAGCATTATAGGCTTATTTACAAAATTCTGTGCTATCAACATGAAGGGAAACCAAAATTCTCTTGATCTTTTGACATATAAGATTTCATTGTACTGTAAAAACATCCTGTAAGTTTCACAACTCAAAACTTTGTCGCTACTCTAAAAACAGATTATATTGAAGGCAGTCTGCCGAAACAACAGTTTGTGGAATCTTCTTCTACATCGCTGCCTGTTTAGCCCCGCCCACCGATGCTACAGCACTGCCTGTTTAGCCCCGCCCACCGATTCTACATCACTGCCTGTTTAGCCCCGAAAGTTTGCTTTAGAAAGGCAAACGCACAGAAACCAAATGATAAGGATGGCTCTGAAGACAATAAAACGCTGTGCAGTGCCAAGTTGTGGAAAAAAACAGTCTTTGCATTACCTTCCTTCTGATCACAATGTTAGGAAAGAGTGTATGAACTTTATTTTAATAAAGATCCAGACTGTGTCAGTAAGATCTTGGTCCTTGTTTCACTTCTACAAACAAGGCACAATTCGACGCTGGATTTTCAAAAAGATTGAAACTAAAAGACGATGCTGTGCCGACTATATTGGATCCGACAGTAATGTTGCCACACAAGTGTGAGTTACTGTTTTTATTATGTGATCACTATTGCTTTATCTGTTAAACAGATCGTTTGATATGAGTATTTATCTATGAAGGAGGCTGTCAAACATACACAACTGTTAGCCAATCACAGCAGTGGGTGTTTACTTCTGAGTCTACAATCCTCCACAGCTACTCAAACAGAGCGTTCTGAAGAGGGGGGTTAAAAACCGGACAGAACCGTACGGCTTATTAGCTACGTCTAAATTATGTTTTTTGATGTACAAATCTTGACAACATTATAAGTGGACCTCAGAGAACAGTACAAAATAAAAAAACAAAGGCAGTTCATGACCCCTTTAAATATTTGTGTTTAAAATTCATTTAAGAAACAGACTTAAGCCAGCTGCACACCGGATGAGAAGCACTGTGCCACGTGTTTAAAATCTGAACACATTGGCTGCGTCCGAAAGCCTAGGCAGCTGACTTGCTGCCTCGCTGCCTTATGAGGCAATGACTTTGAAGGCAGGGAGTTTAAAGCTTGCAGGCTTCCGTACACCGGCGCCCGCAGCGTTTTCTGGGCTTTCTAACGGCTCGATTCTCTCAAGTCTGCACTCGATGCATCCTCGATATCAAGAACACATCCGGGCACTTTCATGCGTCCTCTGTACTTGCGTTCTTGAGTATTGGAATTGAACTTTGACGGTTAATGATGATGTAGAGCGAGAACACAAGGACGCAAGATTGCTGAAAAACGCATATTGAGAAATGGCAAAGTCCCTTTAAGGCAAGTCATGTCACCCGACTGAGCCTGGTTTCTCCCAAGGTTTTTTCTCCATTCTGTGGCAGGCAGCGCCATTCACAAAACCTCACAAAGAGCTCTAAACATAGCTGTTTTCATCTGTCATTACGGCGCGGCGTGCGATGAGTCACAGCGCCGTCGAAGAGCCTGAGCAGCTCGTTAGCATTCACCCGAGGCCATTACAAACACCTCACATGAGTTCACGAGGAGGAAACGCCTTCACTTGACAGTCGTTTTGCGCTCATTTGAAAGCCACCAACTGTGATCCTGAAGAAAATAAAAGAATTTTCCTGGCGGAAGCTTAAAGAAATCATATGCGGCGCGACGTGTTTGGTGTGCGTAATAATAATATGAAACTCTCGTGAGGAAAAGCCACTCCAGCGACCTTCAGCGTGCCGTTTGCAGTTTGTTTAAAGGTTGGAATAAAAATTATGTCGCCATTTACTCACCCTTGTGCCATATGGGGTTTAAAAGATGATTCATATTCAGTATAATTATCGATTGCACTGACACTAGCATTTGAGAAAATTTGAACCGAATTAAGCTGAATAATGACACGGCGGCCATCTTTGAAATGCCTCTCGGGCATGCAAGTGCAGGTTCTATCACTTTGTATGGGGAATCATCAAATTCTCCAAAACTGTTCACTAAGCTTATGATTAAATTTCATATTTGAAATCATCATGAAATTGATAACAGCTGTGTCATAAATGTTGTTTATTTTGCTCAAATAGCATTATAAAAAGCTTATTT